AAATTTTGAGTAGTTCGGAGAACCGGTAGTGGAAATTTTGAGTAGTTTGGAGAACCGGCAAATGCCACCTCCGACTGGCCCCGCCCCCATCTATTCTCTGCCTCCCGAGTCCCAGCTGATTGGCTGGGTCTTCTTTGGTTGCCCTGCACAAGAGAATGGAGCTGGAAAGCAGGTTAGTGGAGTGGGGAGGGAATGGGGATTTGCAGTAACATTCCCCCAGGAGTGGGGAGGGAATGGAGATTATACTGTATCCTTCCCCTGCCAAACCCACCAAGCCATACCCGCCAAACCAGCCATACCCACCAAGCCACACCCACAGAACCGGTAGTAAAAAAATTTGAATCCCACCACTGGTTTATCTCTTAGCTCTTTTAAACAAGCATTGGTATTCCCTATATTCAAAGTCTTAAAAGTCCTGTCCCCACAGAAACAAGCAGTGAAGTTTCTGAACTCCATTTTTCTTTTAAGCTAATTGGCTTGATAGGCAACTTACTTCTATTTGTTGCAAGTCCTTCTATGAATACTTAGTTGGGGTGGAAAGACTACTGTGTAGTGAATAAAATGTTCTGAATTTTCTTTTTGCATTTACAAGACTTTTTTTTAGTCAAGCTTACTTGGACACACATATTGTGGCCTAAATGGTGAGTTTGTTATAAATTACTGGAATGTGATATATAAATCTTAAAAGAAGAATTATGGGCAAGGCAGTATCACTGTGCTATAAGCAAGAAAGTTGTCTGTCTGTGTGTGTGTGTGTGTGTGTGTGTGTGTGTGTGTACACATACACACACATATATATACACACACATACATATATACACATACATATATACACATACATATACATACATACATACACACACACACATATATACATATGTATATGTACACACACATGGGCTGAGGGAGAGTCACCTAGCTGGCTTTGTACCCAAGGTGGGACTAAAACTCATGATCTTCTGGTTTCTAGTCCAGGATCTTAACCATTACATCAAATTGTTTGCCACTGGATTTTGTGAGTTGAATTTACATTTAACACATTGTCTTCCTTAGGCAAGTAGTTGAATGCTGATTAGATCTCTCATTGAAAGTGATTATATTTCATTTTTATGCTGCCTGGTAAAGTTGTATGTTGAGAAATCCTGTTTAGGAACTGAATGAACTGAAGTACCTATGAGCTTGGACTGTTAAGCTCAAGGATGCTTCAAAATATATGACACCTTATCACTGTATACATTCCACTGATCCTAAGATCGCTATTGTCAAAATCTGTTTTTCTGCTTTAAACAATTCAACATCCCAGATGTGGCTCCTCTGGTGTGACTCTCCTCCCTCACTCCATTCATAGCATCAACCATCATCACAGGAAGAGTCAATATTTTACTTGCTATACGGAAGTCATTATTGCATTATGTACCAATTCTCAAACCAACATCAATTCTTAAATAGCTTTCATAAAAGTTAATCACTTTTTCCCATAATGGCAATAGCAATAGCAGTTAGACTTATATACCGCTTTACAGTGCTTTACAGTCCTCTCTAAGCAGTTTACAGAGTCAGCATATTGCCCCCAACAATCTAGGTCCGCGTTTTACCCACCTTGGAAGTATGGAAGGCTGAGTCAACCTTGAGCCCGGTGAGATTTGAACTGCCAAATTGCAGGCAGACGGCAGTCAGTAGAAGTAGTCTGCAGTACTGCACTCTAACCACTGCACCACTGTGGCTCATGAATAGTTTAATAAATGAATTAAAACATCTCCCAATTTCAACTATTAAGAACTAAGATGGGTGATTTTAAAATACAATCTATCATTTGTTTTTCCTTTCTACATTAACAACTGGCACTTCCTTATATTCATCTACAATACATACTTATGTATATAATTGCCCAGTTTCTCTCTTTCTGTGCCAGATTGACATTATGGGCAACTTTCTTTGTCCCTGCAAAGAAACAGGCAAAAGTCTGAAAGGTCTAATCAGCATTCAAACTGCTTGTATTGGGTGCCTAATAGTATTAGGAAAGCAATGTGTTAACTGTTAGTTGCACTCAGGCAAAATCCAATAAAAATCAGTACAACCCATCCAGCCATTGTTTTGGACAGCCTCTAGTCTTTTGAAATGAGGAAGTAGAAGCAGAAATTGCAAAAGAAAGCTGGTGAGTGGAACAAAGTTTGAATATTATCGGCTTTTTATTTTGTTCTTTGTTTTATTTCTAATTGAGACAATTGCTTTAAAAAGTATTCCATTGTAAATGTTTCTTTAGAAGTGTTCCCAGATAAGAGAGAGGCAAACTAAGGCAGTAGAATTAATTTTGGGAGACTGTACTTGACTCTAACAATAGGTGTGGCTATCATAATTTCAACATTGGGCCATAAATAGCTTTTGAGAAGGCTCAATCGTAACTTTGGTCATTAAGCAACCATGTGTAAGTCGAGGACTGCATTTTAATCTAGAGCACCTAGATTTCAGTCTATATATTTAGTATTGGAATATTTATAGAAAAATAGTACAATATTCCTTTTCTTCTTAAAGAGGAAGAAGACTAAGCGCATACCAATATATCTGCTTGCTCAGATTGAATCCAAACATACAAATTCAAATGTTTGTTTCTACCTCAGGGTCACTTGAATTAGAGACAAAATATTGTTGGAAGAATAAAAAGTTCAAAGGGCATCAGACTGTTACTGATTAATTTCAAGAAACACTGTCAAAACTCAACAGCTGAAACAATCACACTATCAAAGGTCATCTGATCAAATATATGATCTTTCAGAATACTCTGTCTTCACTTGATCTGTCTTTTCAATCTTCTTTTCTCTCTCCCCAGTCTATAAGGACATGGCAATGGCCTCTTCATCTTTACAGCATGCTTTTATTTTTATACTCCTGGGGAGTATCAGGACTTTAGCCTTGGAGAAATATATTGCAGCAGTATTCGAACATGCAGTCATACTGCCAGAATCCACAGTGAACCCTGTTTCCCCTGAAGAGGCCTTAAAACTGATGAACCAAAACATAGACATCTTAGAAGATGCCATCCAAAAAGCAGCAAAGCAGGTACTGGGCACTACTTGTTAATATGCATTTGTTGGTAAAATGATTGTCCTGCAAGGGAAGGAGATTTACCTTCGCTTCTTTTGACAGGGAGCACATATCATTGTGACTCCAGAAGATGCCATATATGGATTTTTCTTCACCAGAGAGACCATTTATCCTTACCTTGAGGACATTCCAGACCCACAGGTCAACTGGATTCCATGTACTGATTCTGAAAGGTATCTTGTGCTTTGCTTTTGTGCAGTCTCAGTTGAAAGGCATTTGAACATGGTGGCCTACTCTTATGTTTGTGTTTTAGTACTCCAGTGTACACCCTGACATGAAGGAAGGAAGGATCTCTCCATTGTAACATCCCATTTAGATATCTATTAGACATCAGCTGTTATCATCTGTATATGTTATCCAGATAAGTTAAGCTACAGTATCCATCCACCTTGACCAACATGGCCATATCTTGCTTACTTGCTTCTTTGTTTGTGCCAAGGTGGTGCAGTGGTTAGAGTGAAGTACTGCAGACTGACTACTTCAGCTGACTGCTAGCTGCAGTTTGGCAGTTCAGATCTCACTGTCTCAGGGTTGACTCAGCTTTCCATCCTTCCAAGGTTGGTAAAATAAGGATTATTGGGGGTGTTGTAGAGCGATGGTAAGGAAGAGGCAGAAACCAGAGCGTACAACTAACAAGGCTTTATTGCAGAGAATAAAGGGTTGTCGCGTCTGCTTGCTAACTGGCAGACCAGCGGGCGACAACAGGGCTGGCTCGGCTCGACAGCCGGCTTTTATAGCTGACTGTCAAACAGAGCCAGCCAATGGGAGCGGCTGGTGCTCCCGCTCAAACAGCGGACCTGGTTGGGAACTCCAACCAGTTCCGCAGACATAACACTCCTTTCCCCCAGCTGGGAACATGCGTAGTCTTGTAGGTAAGTTGGCTGCCTGCGCTGGCGACCAGAACGTCGCAATTCGGGTGAACTGTTGGCTGGTGACAAGTCCAGGCCCTCGGGACATGCCTCGACGGTTGTTGGGGCATGGGCTTGCCCTGGCGCGGTGTTCTGAGAAGTCAGCGATTTCCCTTGCTCGGGCTGACCTGGGTGAGTCACGGTGTCCGGTTGGCAAACTGGCTCGCTCGGCTGCGGGGTCGGTGATCCTAGCCGGAAACTCGGGTCCCCCAGCAAACCCTCCTGATCGACGGGGAAGACCGGGTTCCGCAGGGGGCTTTCGTCTGGCACCAGTAGGGAGACGTTGGCGCTGGCAGGTTGGGTTGGGTTGGTATCGCTCGCACTTCTCCGTCGCCTTCTGAGTTGGTCCACGTGTCTCCGCCACAAACGTCCATCTTCCAGGAGGACCCATAGGATCTAGGACCTGTGACTGACACGATTTGGCCTGGTACCCACAAAGGATCCCCCGCATAGTTCCTGGCGTACACCAGGTCTTGCAAGGCAAAGTCTCTGACCAGACTGTCAGACCCTAAAGGGGTGTCTGGGCAGTAGTGGGGGTGTAACCTGTCCAGGGTGTTTCTAAGGCGTCTCCCCATTAAAAGTTTGGCCGGGGATTTGTTAGTAGTGGTGCAAGGCATCGTATGTTGACTGAGCAGGTAACGAGACAGTTTAGAGTGCCAGTTTTCCTGGCCAAACCTGGCGAGTGCCTCCTTGGCTGACCTAACTGCTCTCTCCGCCATCCCGTTGCTAGCGGGGTGAAAGGGGGCTGTAAGGACGTGTCTGATGCCCAAATTAGCAACGTACATACTGAACTCGCATGAAGTGAACTGCGGGCCATTGTCAGACACCAGCGTGTCTGGGAGTCCATGGGTGACAAATAAATGGGTCAGGGCCTTAACTATTGCCTGGGTGGTGGTCGTGGGAAGCAGGGCCAAGTCTATCCACTTGGAGTAGGAGTCCACAACCACCAAGAAAGTCCTGCCATGCACCGGTCCAGCCAGGTCGATGTGTAGGCGAGACCAAGGGGCACTAGCACTTTCCCACCTGGTGGGCGTGGCAGCTGGTGAGGCAGCCCTGGTTTCTTGGCAAGGTTGGCAAGAGCTTACCCAGTCGGCGATTTGGGCATCCATGCCGGGCCACCAAACGTAGCTGCGGGCCAACGCCTTCATCCTTACGATGCCCGGATGGCCCTCGTGAAGCACCTTCAGGATGGGTACACGAAGGGTGGTTGGGATGACTACTCTTGTACCCCACAATAGACATCCCTGTAGCTTCAATAGTTCCTGTTGATGGGTTTTAAAAGGAGCAAAATCAACTGTACATTGAGTTTCCAGCCACCCCCTTCCCACCCAGTCCAGAACCTGGGCAATTATTTTGTCTTTTTTCGAGTGTGCCGCGATGTCCTCGGCTGTCACTGGCAGCTTGAGTTTGTTGACCTCAAAGATGGCGTGAATCGGTGCTGGGTCTTCGACTGGAACTGGCAGGGGGCAGCGACTAAGGGCATCAGCGTGACTCAAGTTCTTGCCAGGACGATGCACCAACTTGAATGAGTAAGCGGCCAGAAACAAAGTCAGCCAAGGCTTCTTTATCGATTTGGCTGTAGTTCCTTTCTGCTGAGGAGAAGGTCCTAGAAAAGAAGGCAATTGGTGCCTCGGAGCCGTTGGGGAGTCTGTGGCTAAGGACAGCCCCAATCCCAAAAGGGGATGCGTCAGCAGCCAGAACCAGGGGAAGACGTTGATCGAACTGAATTAAGACTGCTTCCGTTGTGAGTAAGGATTTGACTGCTTTGAAAGCATGGTCTTCTTTGGGTCCCCAATGCCAGGGTGAGTCTTTATCTAATAGTCTGTGCAAGGGCTCAGCGACAGATGCTTTGTGCGGGAGAAATGAGGCGTAAAAGTTTAGTAGCCCCAGAAAAGCTTGTAGTTCAGTCTTGTTGGTTGGTGTGGGTGCCTCGTGGATGGCCTTCACCTTGGACTCAATTGGGTGGATGCCAGAGGTGTCAATCCTATAACCCAGAAAGTCCACCTGTCTAGTGGCAATGGCGCACTTCTCCCTTTTAAGTTTGAGGCCATGCTGCCTAAACTTCTCTAGCACTGTCCTGACCCTCTGAATGAGTTGGGGGCGGTTGGTGGCTGAGACTAAGATGTTATCGAAATAAGGGACAACTCCTGGGAGACCCTGGAGAATCCTTTCCATGAGTGATTGGAATATACCCGGGGCCACACTGACACCGAACTGGAGGCGTTTACATTTGAATGCCCCTCTATGCGTGACTATGGTTTGTAATTCAGCTGTCTGATCATCAACAGGGAACTGTTGGTATGCCTGGGACATATCTAACTTGGCGAAAATGGTGCCGGGTTCGAAAGTGTGTAACAGGTGCTGAATAACGGGGACAGGGTATGCGCTGACCTGTAAATAATGGTTGAGTGTGGTTTTGTAGTCTGCGCAGATTCTTAAACTGCCATCCTTCTTGAGTGGGGTGACTATGGGGGTCTCCCATTTGGCAAAATCAGTAGGTTCTAACACCCCTTGTTTAAGTAGCTTATCTAATTCAGCGTCCAATTTGGGACAGATGGCGAAGGGCACCCTGCGTGGCTTAAGGCGGAGAGGAATTGCCTGGGGGTCTACAGAAAACGAGATGGGGGTGCCAGAATAGCAACCTAGTTCGCTGCTAAACACATCAGAAAAATCAGAAAATAATGTATCTACATCAGAAGTTGAGACAGCATGGATCCCCGTTACACTAAGGCCGAGGGAGGGAAACCAATCTAGCCCCAACAGGCTGGGGAGGGCACCATTAACAACCACTAAAGGCAAATGGCCTTTAAAGGCTTGGAATTGAACGAGGAACTTGCCTTTCCCGAGGACAGGGATGTTCTTGCCCTGGTAGTCCCGCAGTGTGAGGTGGCATCTTTGTAGCTGCTTCCTTGACAGTCTGGGCTGGATCTTCTTCAGGGTTTCCCAGGAGATGATTGAGAGCGCAGACCCCCATGTCTACCTCCATCCTGCAGGGTTTACCTTCTAGGAAAACAGAAATTTTGATTTTATCAGGGGTTTGGGAAGTATGGTTAGCGGGGTAGCAGGTATAGCAGTCCTCCACTTGCCTTTGGGAATTAGAAGGTGGTGGAGGTCTTTGAGGCAAAGTGCGCCCTGCTTGGCAGACTCTAGCGAGGTGACCCTTCTTTTGGCAGTTCAGGCAGATGGCGTTTCTAAACCTGCAGGATGCCCTAGAGTGGGAGCCTCCGCAGGTTAGGCAAATGGGAGGTTGTTTGGGGGCGAAGTTGTTTCTCTGCCCCGCTCCTACCTGTGGAGGCTTCTGATGGTTGAGGCGGTTAATATCTGATGGGTCTGTGGGGTCTTCTTCACTGAGCACCTCTTCTGAATGGACTGTGGGATTGCTGGGCTTTACTGGAGTGCCTTGAATCTCAGCTGCTGATTGGGCAGAGAGCTCAGCAGTTAGGGCTTCCTCCATGGCTAAGGATAGATTCAAGTCCTTTTTTGCCAGCAAACATCTTTGGAGCCTCAGGTCTCTAACCCCACATACGATCTGGTCCAGCAGCATGTCTTCCAAGTAGTCTTTGAAACCGCACTGCAAGGCAGCTGTCCTCAGGGCTGCCATGTATTCGTTGATTGACTCCCCTACTGCCTGTTTCCTAATTCTGAAGGCGTACCTTCTGGCTATCTGGGATGGTTTAGGCGAGTAGTGGTTGGAGAGTATTTCTTGTAGCTCATCTCAGGGAATGCTTCTGATGGTGCGTGGAGCGACTAACGCTGTAGCTGTGTCAAAAACGGCAGCCCCGCAATAGCTGAGGAAATAGGACTTCTTCCTATGTTCAGCAGCGTCAGCCAACCCGATGGCATCGAGGAAATGGCTGAAACGATTTTTGTAGGAGTCCCACGTCTCCTCGTTGGGCTTGAATGGCGGAAATGCTGGATTAGCATTCATCATGAGTATGCAGGGTTCGTCTTCTTCAGGCGTCTTTTGAATTCGTGCTCTTAAAAGAGCGCAGGCTGTGACTGTCTCTCTGGGCTACGTAGCTCTTTTGAATTTCGCGCTCTTTGTGAGCGTCAGCGGCCGCGGTACAGCGCTCGCGGCTCGCTTCAGTGAATACAGCTCAAGCAATGGCGGTTTGAATTTCGCGCTCTTAGTGAGCGTTGGCGGCTGTGGCTTCAGCGCCCGTGACTTGCTCTTTGTGATTACAGCTCTTTGAAGCAAACGTGTCTGGCTAGCCTTCGATCCATCCCATCCTCGTCGCCAGTGTTGTAGAGCGATGGAAGGAAGAGGCAAGAGCCAGAGTGAACAACGAACAGGCTTTATTACAGGGAATAAAGGGTTGCCGCATCTGCTTTCTAACTAGCAGGTTAGCTGGCGACAACGGGCTGGCTCTGCCCGACAGCCGGCTTTTATAGCCGACTGTCAAACGGAGCCGGCCAATGGGAGCGGCTGGTGCTCCCGCTCAAACAGCGGACCTGGTTGGGAACTCCAACCAGTTCCGCAGACATAACAGGGGGCAATATGCTGACTCTGTAAACCGCTTAGAGAGGGCTGTAAAAGCACTATGAAATGGTATATAAGTCTAAGTGCTATTTGTCACACCCATTGCCCTCAGAGAGGGGCTCTAGAATATAATTTAATCAATAAAATTAAGAATTAAAAAGAATATTATTTTAAAAACAATATATAAAATTACAAATTACAAAAAATGGGGAACATGTCAATATCACAGAATGCAAATTTGAACTAAAGCCAGCATCTAGCCAGGCTTAGCTGATCTTGCAAAAGCTAAGGGTCAAAATGAATACAGTAAGCATTTGGATGGGAGGTACCAGGATATCTCACTGTTGTAAGGCAAGCCTGAGAAATGGATAAAGTATCTCAGGAGGAAATGATAAACCACTTCCATATTGATGAGAAAACCATGTAAGTACAGCCATGTAATCAGCAGAAACCCATCTTGAGTCAAAAGATATGCCAAGCTGTGCCCTAGTCCATCCATCACAGTAATTCATTCCCATTTTTAAGTGTGTTCTTCTAATCTTTAACTGTGCTTGCTAAGGTGCTCAGGAGTGAAAGAAGAGGAAATGGGAGTGAGGGTCAAAAGAAGATAGTCACTGTTCCCTTTTCCTTATGTTCCTAGATGGGTGATAGTGTGTCGAACAGGATCATCTGAGATCTATACATACTGGAATGCTTAAAATTTCAAGTGTAGTTAAAGACAGTTAACAGCTTTCGAGAAACTCAGCATGACTCCCAAAGAATTTTTTCGTTCAAATTTTGCTGTTCCAAAGAAAAGCGCAAGCAGCGTGTTGGCAGAACAGCTACATCTAGTTTTTTTACCCATCTTGATCTCTTGCAGAAGAAACCAGGCATCTTTTCAATATTTTGCCCTTCACTTAGCAACTAGGTATTGTCATTGCCACCCCCTGCTAAATTTTAATGGCTGGGTCAAAAACACATTTTGGCACAAGAAAAAGGCAGCATTTGGCAACCTGACATAATTTGGGGGGGAAAAAAAAGGAAGCCTGGAAGACAGAATCACATTTAACAAAGAAAAGAAAAGCAAAAGAAAATCAGGGGGTGGGGGGGAGATTTCTTTAAGAGAAATTCTTTTTTGCAGAATGAAATTATTTTTAATGACCAAGGGTTTATTATAGCCATCTCTTATAAAAGCCACCAATTACTTATGAAATGCATAGAACATATTTGCAAGTGTTTATCTTTTTTTTATTAAGAAAAGTCTGGGAGTCTAGATTTAAGCAATTTGTTGGCCTAATGCTAGTCATGCTCTGATAATCAACACAAAGATTCTTTGTCCAGTTTCCTGATTGCTTGATTTCTGGACAATCTCCCACCCACTTTTTCCCAGTCTGGGGCAAAGGGGTACTTTCTGATCATGCCTCAATAACAGAATATAGAAGGAATGAATACTATAATACAGAGTAGATGCAATGTTACATCAAGGTAAACTATATTTGTAAATGAATTTGCTGCTGGGCAAGGGGGAATAGAAGAAATGAGTGGTAATTGTACAAAACAATCCTGATGCTGTTGATCAGGTATAAACAAATGTTCCGCAACATGCATTTCTCTGGCCTATGTTATTTTTATTTAACCTGATTACTGCAAGTAGATGAAGAAATTATGTACATTAATTTACTTGTTTATTGAAAGTGGAGGAAAAACTGGAGAAATTTTATGTTATGTACATTTGGTAGAAAGTGTACCAACAGTTGTAAAGAATGCATGGGCTCTGAATAGATTTGGATTGAATACAAATAAGTGACCAGTATGAATGAAGGGCAGGTAATACATTGAAAGTATAAGGAAGAGTACAAGGAAGGGTTGAGAGGAAGAGGAAGATGACAAAGTCAATGTTGGATGGAGTAGATATACTGTATTTTTTTAAAGAAGAAAGTGAGCACTATAAGAAACAAAAGGTATGTGATGTTGGTGGACACACCCATGGTTGATAGGGGTAGAAAGGTATACAGAAGCATAATAAACGGTGTGCCCTTTTCTTTCATCTCCTGCCTTTAATTTTTCAGTTACTATTTCTCACTCTTTTTCTATTCCTTATATAACATTATTTACCCCATGAGGGTACAGTCAAGTGTCAGGAAAATCAGGAGATCCAGACAGTTCAAAGGGCATCAAGAATCTGAACTACTAGGGGTCAAGGAAAATTAGTGAGAATTAAGAGTAGGGTTTCAAGTTGACCAGGACTTAGATCTCTTGTGAGCATGAAGGGACTCATGTCTGATGACCTGTTTGACCCCTCCCTCAGCCTAGTCATCTCTTATAGGTACATGTTTATGCATGGGTATATTAATTTGATCTTCTAGAAGTTAACTCGACATATTAGGAGGGCTCCAAGTGCCAAAAGGCAACATGTCACAATAGAAGGAAAACAGCAGCATGAAACCCTGGATTTATTAATCAAATCACAATGTAATTGGATGTGGCATGTTAACTTTTATGGGAACAATCTAAAGAAGAGGGCTTCCAATCTTCAATTAAGAGAGAGCAGGAGAGAGGGAGAGAGAGAGAGATTTACTATCATCAGTCATGATTGAGTCATCTTTGTTAATCTTTGCCCTTATGTATGTTTAAAGTCTCATTGCTGAAAATAGCTGGCCAAGGAATGGAGCAATTTGTAGTGGGGAAGAAACTGGGTACATTGGTTACACCAAGCTATTATTTGCTTAACTGTATTTTATTAAATAAACCATAATTTGATGGCTAAGGTTGCATACTAAGGCTTAGACAATAATTTATAAATTACAGTTACTGGATTCACACAATATCAAACGAATAACTTTATAAATTACGTGTTGTACATTTATAAACAACCTACTAAATTATATCATTATTAATTCAAAGTATCTCTCAATCGGGAACCACTGCCAAAAAGATTCATTTCATCTTTTCCCCAGTGAACTGGTGTTCCACTGATTGAGAGCACCTAATTACTTCCCATATTTTTTTCCCCTTCAGTGAAAAAAAACATCTTCTTGAATCAATTTCAAACAAAAATATAGTTGGAAGGAAAAATATTTCACAGTATCTAAAGCTCACTTACTCCTAGTGGTAGGATTCAAATAGTTTAACAACCGGTTCTCTGCCCTAATGATTTCTTTCAACAATCAGTTCACCAAACTGCTCAGAAAGTTAACAACCGTTTCTCCTAAAGTGCAAACTGGCTGAATCCCACCACTGCCTAATCCAACCTTTATGACTCTTTTCTTTTCTTCTCTTTTACATTTTAAAAGACATAACCTTGCTTCTGTTTTATTGACTGTTTTAGTGTCTCTTTCTGTATTACATCCTTCAACATGGAGATAAATTAACAGAATTTAATTGTATTAATTCTTCAGTTCTGTGGTCTTCACATTTAGATTTGGACCTGCACCAGTCCAAAAAAGACTGAGCTGTCTGGCCAGGAACAATTCAATCTATGTGGTTGCCAATATGGGTGATAAGAAGAATTGCAGTTATATAGACCCAAAGTGCCCCTGCGATGGCCGCTATCAATACAACACAAATGTTGTCTTTGATTCAGAGGGAAAGCTGGTAGCACGATACCACAAGGTAAGGTTACAATTTTCACATGAACCCCACATAAAATATAAGCACATCACTTTGTAAGTTAATTTTATTTTGAACATCAGAGGCTGAATATGTCCACTGGAGCATATTCCAACTTTTGAGATTTCAGAGGGATAACGAATTACCTGTAGAAAATGTGATTTGGCATAACAGATATATAGGGTAGAAGAGAATTTTGGGCATCCAATAAAATGCAGTTCTAATTTGATAGATCTTTTTTTCTTTCTCTCTTTCTCTCTCTCTCTCTCTCTTTCTCTCTTTCTTTCCTTCATTTTTTCAATTCTTTCTTTCCTCCTTTTTTAGTTTCCTTTTTTATTACAGAAATGTAATATAGATAAAAATAATACAAAAGCAAAAATACAATAAAAGACAAAAATAAACTTAAAATGGAAAAAGAGAAAAATAAGTAGTACCACTACCTTAACTTTTACTCTTGTTATTAATTGTGGAAATAATATTGCTCTCTTCTCATTTTTACAATATAAAGATACTCCAAAATCAACTAAGAAATACACATCTTTGACATCTGTTCTTTGACACCTGAAGCATTTTTCCACCTATCCAGACTAATTATTTAGTTGAATCCCAGTCTTAATAGAGCCAGAGCTCTTCATAATATCAACTTCCATAGTTTTGGAATGCAATTCAGTATCAAATGTACCAGTGGTGGTATTCTACCGGTTTGGCCCAGTAGCGGCGATGAGAAGCGGAGACCGAACCTGTTCCCTCCGCCACTCCGCTGTTGGGACCACCTGCCCACCTGGGCTCCCATACTCACCTTTATCCTCTGAATTTGAAGCGCAGCTGCTTTGTATGGCACAGCAGAGTGCCACGTGGCAGCTGCTGAAGCGACCGGGAGAGAGCAGGCTTGCAGGAGGTGAGTTAGAACACCTCTGCACCTGCACAAATGCCTTTGCACCTGCACAAAGTGCATGTTTGATGCATGCATGCGCCCACCAAGCCACACCCACTGAACTGGTGGTAAAAATATTTGAATCCCACCACTGAAATGTACATAGGTAATAATTATGTTTTCCTCCAATGATGTTTGTTGTTTATTTGTGTCAGAAGCATCACAATTAAAATAAGGCATACTATATGACATATTATTTAAAATGTAAAATACAAGATTAAAATATGTACACGTTGGGACACAAAGGGCAGGTATACATATGTGTTGTTGTCTGCATGTCACCACAATCACAAAGAACAGAAGCCACCAGATAGCCCCATTTGTTAAGAGTTCCTCTAGATCTTGTTGTACCCAATGATATAACATACTGTATATAATCAAGATTATTCCAATTTTGAAACCAAAAACGAGTCCTAAATGAAATATTTAAAACAGATAATAGCAGAGATTTGTTTTCCAGCACAACTGGAACCAAGCTGTGTGAAAATGCAGGAGACCACTATAAATGTATCTCTCAGTTACATAAAGAAGATCTTCTTGTAATGGGTGCTGATACTACATTATTAATAGGCACAGAGGTTCTGGGAAACCAGTCCATCAGAATTTAAAGAAGTTTTGGGATTTTCCCCCTTCTTATTTTAAAATGCATTACACTTTCACCTTCAGTTAAAATGACTTGCAAGGTGGCTTTAAGTCAGTGTTATGTTGTTGATACATTCACTGAAAAACACCTCACCTCTTTCCTAAATGTGTTCTCTTTTTAACAGTTCAACCTGTTTAAGGGGGAGCAACAATTTGATATCCCTAAAGAGCCTGAACTTGCAACCTTCGATACTGCCTTTGGAAAATTTGGCCTCTTCACTTGCTTTGATATTCTCTTCCATGATCCTGCTGTAATCCTCATAACGCAGCTCTCTGTGGACACTATCCTTTTCCCGACAGCCTGGATGAACGTCCTCCCACATTTAACTGCTATCGAATTCCATTCAGCTTGGGCCATGGGGATGCGTGCCAATGTTCTGGCAGCTAATACTCATAATCCCATCCTCAATATGACAGGTAATGTACTGGTTGAGATAAAAGATTTGATTGGTATTTGGTTCTATTCACCCAACAGTTGAGAATCTCCAGCTGGTTGAAAAGTCTAATCTTTGAGAAATCCTTTAATGCCCCCTTGCCAAAATGAAGATACGCTGGTGTGGTCCTTGCAGACAGAAATTCAAGAGGAGGGAAGCCATTGCCATCACTGTAGTATACAGAGTACAGTCTTATTCTTTTTTTATTGTACCTCCACAAATAATCTCTGATTGGCTGTGTAAACAGTGATAGCCTACGAATGAAGGTGAATGTACATGACCCAGGATAATGTTGCAGGATCCAATCTGGGTTTGTGAATGGAAGCAGTGGTTTTGTCTTCTGAGCTTCTGGATTCATACTGGAGTCCATACTCAGGGAACTCCTCTGTAGCAGAGTGTGTACGTTGGGCTGTTCTTTGTCTGTTATTTACATGGGACAAAAACTTAGCATGTGAGGGCTTGGCAGTAGAAACAAACAGCTAACAACTTAATAAACAACACCCCAATCAACATCTAAAAAGCCAAATACAACAGGCACCATTAAATACCATACACAGAACAACCCAAGGGGCATACTCTGCTAGAGAGAAATTCCCTGAGAAAGGGCTTCAATATGAGTTTGAAAGCTTGGAAGACAAAACCGCTGGTTTCAGTGACTGACCCAGATAGGATCCTGCAGTAGCCAAGTTTTGCTTTGTTTCTTTGCATTGCTGATCATAAATACCATTTTTCTTTAAATTTTTGTGAAAGCCAGGAACTCTATTGGTTCCTAAAGCATATTGAATATTCTTCCTATTCTATTCTTGCTCATCAAAGTAGAAAAAGGAAAAGAGAAGGTGAATTCGTGTGTATATGAATACATTTTCTGGTCTTTTTTCAGAGTTAAATATGTGTGTTTTTGGGGTGGGTGGTGTTTTCTTAAGTATGTTTGGGGGTAGAGTAGACGAGATAATGTATACTGTATGTCTTGCAAAGACATGATAAGAAAAATGGCTTTTATTCTTGTCATTTTTAGGCAGTGGTATCTATACACCATCCAGATCAGAAGCCTATCATTATGATGCAGAATCAACGAATGGGCACCTTTTGGTTGCAGAAATCTATTCCCATCCTTCTCGTTTTCCCACCCCTCTTCCTACTGTTAACTGGAGCTCGTATGCCACAACTGTTGAAGGGTTTCATGAGGGCCCTACTTTCTCTGGATTTATTTTCCATGATGACTTCACCTTATGTACCCTTGGAAAAGAAGCTGACAATCTTACTGTGTGCCAGAAAAGTCTCTGCTGCCATTTAAGCTACAGGATGGTGAAACAAGAAGAAGGTGAACTTTACGTGCTAGGGGCATTCGATGGTCTTCATGAGGTTGAAGGACAATATTACTTACAGGTATTCTTTTATTTATGGAGTAAAATGATAGACGGAAAGATAAAAGATGAGATGCCCACTACATTTGCAGGTTATTGTCTAGATCAGGGGTCTTCAAACTTGACAGCTTTAAGACTTGTGGACTTCAACTCCCAGAATTCCTCCTTCAGTTATGTTAGCTCAGGAATTCTGGGAGTTGAAGTCCACAAGTCTTAAACTTGCCAAGTTTGAAGACCCTTGGTCTAGATAAACTTCAGCACTTTATTTTCATTATCTCACTTGGAATAATTGTCTAGTTTAAATATTCGATCACTTTGTGGCTGCATCATGCTCACGATGAATGAAAGTATCTATTAGCAGGAAGAAAAGTAAGTCCTACATTTCTTACTCCTTGGAGGATCACACAGAGTTCTGGAAACTTTATTACCATGTCCTGTAGGACGTTGACACAGACTGCCATAAGAATAGGACCAGTATTTAGTTTTATCTTTTAATTTGTCTAGTTGGATACTATAGAAATGAGTCCTGCTTGGCATTTTTTAAAAAAATCTTGGAGTGGTTTGTTTTCAAATTGGCAACTTACGATGTGTGGACTTTGTCTCTCAGAATTCCCCAGCCAGCATTCTTGCTTGGGAATTCTGGGAGAAAGTCCAGATATCTTAATGTATCAAGTTTGAAAAACACGTGGAGAGAGAGAAACTAGAACGTACATTTCCAGCAACTACAAGTAGTCCTTGACTTACAACAGATCATTTAGTGACCTTTAAAAGTTACAACAGCATTGAAAAAAAGTGAGCCATGACCAATTTTCACAGTTACAACCTTTGAAGCATCTCACGATCATGTGATCCAAAATCAGACGCAACTGGTTCATGCATATGATAATTGCTGTGTCCCAAGATCACGCGGTCAATTTTTGCAAACTTTTGACCAGCAAAGTCAATCGGGTCATCAGATTCATTTAACGCCCAGGTTGCTAACTTATCAACTGCAGTGATTCACTTAACAACTCTGGCAAGAAAGGTTCATAGCATGGGGACAAAACTCACTTAATAAAATGTCTCACTTAGAAACAGAAATTCTGGGGTCAGTTGTGGTTGAAAGTCGAGGACTACCTTTAAAAACCGAGATTTATATACCTGCAAGTCCTTGGTCACCATGACACCAGGAACTCCTACCTGTCAATGAATACTTCAGCTTCAACCACAACAATACAAGAGCACACAATAGATACAAACTCAAGGTAAACCGCATCAAACTTGATTGCAGAAAATATTACTTCAGCAACAGGGTGGCCAATGCCTGGAATACTCTACCTGACTCTGTGGTTTCTTTCCCAAACCCCAAAAACTTTAACCTTAGACTGTCTACTATTGACCTCATGCCTTTCCTAAGCAGTCTGTAGGGGGCCTGCATAAGCGGACCAATGTGCCTATCATCCCTGTCCTATTGTTTCTTTTTTTTATTTGTATCTATTTCATGTATTCATAAGCATGTTTATACTTATATCTGTTATCCAATACTTGCTTGACAAAATAAATAAAATAAAAATAAATAAAAAAACTCATCTTATGCCAGGGTGAACTCGTGCCTTTATCTGCTAGTTCTGAGTCAACAATCAGTCGGGCTTCTCCCCCAGCCACCAACATTCACATGAGTGTGTTCCACAAAGGTTCCTTGCTATGGAGGAAATTAAAACAATGGTTCCTTTTCTGATAGTAGCAACTTGGCTTCTCAATCATGAGTACTTCTTCAAATGCTGTTTGGTTTTCTTCTCCTTCCAGATCTGCACATTGCTGAAGTGCGGAAGTATGGACCTTCAAAGCTGTGGCCAGGCAACCAAGACTGCTAAATCCTCTTTTGATTTTTATTCTCTCAGTGGCACATTTGGCACAAACTACATCTTCCCAGAGGTTTTACTCAGTGGGATTCGTTTGGCCCCTGATTTGTTTCAGGTAATTTTTTTAAAATTATAATTTTGTTAAATGTATCAAAGTCTAACATACAAGTGAAAATGAAAGTGTTGGGGAAATGGGGGAGGGAAAGGGAGAAAGGGAAAAAAGTGGGATAAAGGGAAAAAGAAAAGCATTGACTTCCTACTCTTTTTAGCATAGTAGGATAACATCATAACATGACAACCTCAACCTCTTACATTTACGTCTATGGAGATTCTCCGTCATCCAGGTCATGGTTGTCCCAAAGGTGCTTTTTCAAGAGGCAACTGGACTTTCTCATTTTTTTCTTTGAAGACATTTTTCTTCTTGACCAAAAAGCTTATTCAGCTCTGATCCACCATCCAGACAGAGCTGAAGAAACTTCTTGGATGAGAAGCAAAACATCTTCAAAGAAAAACCAGAAAGTCCAGTTGCTACTTGAAAAAGCACCTTTGGGACTCTTGCATGCTTAATATTTCTATAACAACAAACTTAGCTGATTAGCAAAAACAAAGTTTCAAAGTTTCAATTTTTTTTCCAATCTCAAAAACATCCAGAAGCATTTTCGAAGTAGAAAGAAAGTTGAATGAATACTTTTCTTCGATTAGAGCAGTTAATTTAGCCATCTCTGCTAAATCCATCAGTTTTCCTACCATTCATCGCCATTGTGGGAATTAATATATCTTTCCATTTTTGCTGCTATCAAGGAGCAAAGTTCCATATTTTTTTCAAGCTATTTTGTCCATTAAACCTAACAGTTCCTGATTTAATGTTTTATATTCACTTTAAAAATCTCAAAATACTGTATGAGTACCAGAGGTGGTATTCAGCAGGTTCTGACCAGTTCTGCAGAACCGGTAGGGGAAATTTTGAGTAGTTCAGAGAAGCGGCAAATACCACCTCTGACTGGAGATTTTACGGTATCCTTCCCCTGCCACGCCCACCAAGCCACACCCACAAAACTGGTAGTAAAAAAATTTGAATCCCATCATTGAATCGTACCCCAGTACTTTCCCATCTTTAGAACACAAATATTGTTAGGGTGGGTATGAACCAAACTGGGCTAGAATAGAAGAAGTGCAGAAACAAATTCCTTAATAAGGCTCAGAAGGAGGTGTTTTGGCCACTTTTTGGAAGCCCAGTTTGAATTGTGAGAAAAATGAGGTTTCTCATTGTGTTGGTTTTTACTTGAGTGCCTTGCTTGATCTATGAGTTTGGGTGAAGGCCACACCACATTGTTATATGTGTTACACTAGTATATAGCAGAGATTGATCTACATGGTGTATATATATGTGTGTGTGTGTATACATATATGTGTGTGTGTATGCGTGTGTGTGTGTACACATACAGGGATGGGATCCGACCGGTATAACTACCGGTTCTGTTGCTCTGCGTCGTGCGCACATGCGCGAGTTGTGCAAGTCACGCAAGTCACGTGAGTGCAATTTATGACCTACTGAGCTGCCCGGACAGCTGAGCAGTGCTTCATGCAGGTGCGCAGCGGTTGGAAAAGCCCCTTTTTTCCTGCTTTTTCAACCGCAGCTGTGTCACGCAAAGCAGCTGTGGTTGAAAAAGCAGGAAATAAAAGTCAGGTAAGAGCCTGGGTGGGCGGGTTGGCCAAAACAGCAGCAGACACAGAACCAGTTCTGTGTCTGCTGCTCTTTAGAGCTACTGGCTCTATAGAGCCAGACAGAACCGGTAGAATCCCACCCCTCTGTGTGTGTGTGTGTGTGTGTGTGTGTATGTCTCTGTGTGTAAGCAAGCCAAAGAAAATCCTGTATACATAAAAAATAATACTGGATTGTTTATATCAGAAGGAGGAAAATGAATTGTGTTCCTCCTATTTCGCTCCTTCAGGAAGCAGAGGAGATTGGGGCAGTCTTTTCTCTATTTAAAATGGGAAGGACAGAAAATATGTTATTTTCTATGCAACAGAATATAGGTAACAATTAGTTACCTTTTGAATGAAGTAAAGCAGTCCATACAGCTAATAGTTATACAGTATTACATAACTGGTCGTACGCACAGGTAGTCCTTGATTTACGATTGGTCACTTAGCAATCATTCAAAGTTAAGGCTGATCTCCCCAGAGCTACTTCTGACCCAGATTCAAAGTTCCAATGGCTGGGGGCCATCCACAACCATCTCATTTTGGGCATTTGGCAACCACGCTGCATTGATCGCTCTTTGCCCGTGTCCCATAGTCACATGGCCATCACGCTTTATGAAGAATATTTTTTTTTTGCTAGCAAACAGTATTTACTTCGGGTTTCCAGCAAAAACCACCCATTGTGGACAATGGATTCCCTTGACAAATGTAGAGATTGCTTAATGTCCAAGGTGATTCACTCAATGATTGCTGCAAAAGTGTCATAAAATTGGGCACAGTCACATTCCAGGCACCACTACAGTTGTAAACTGAGAACTACCTACATCTGTAGAGTGTAATCTACAATTTTAGATTATGTCATATATAATAGTGTAGAATGTCTTTTTCTAAATACTCAGCTTTTAAACTGTCTTGTTGTGAGTAAGCAATTTGTATTAAACACATTGCATGGCTCCAAAAGCTGCCTGAATGTTGCCAAAATAAGATCCATCAGATGATGTTTGTCCTATGGTTTTTTTCACATAGAGCTTAAAATCCCATTGCTAACTGTGGCTTCTCCACATTTATTGAATTCAGGAATAAGAAACTTGTAGATGTTAGAAGTTGCTTAATTAAATCTCCCAGCAGCCCTAATCCCCATGTCCCCTGAAGAGGGGTCCTGTGACTATTTCTCCATCTTGATCCAGTTCAGTATTAGCTACATCAGGGGTATCAAATTTGATTTCATTGAGGGCAACATCAGGTTTGTGTTTGAACTTGGGGCGCCAGGTGGGCACGGCCAGGGTGGCTGGGCCGAGGTGTGACCCCTCGGGACGTGACCCCTTTTTCAGCTGGGATGGCCTCCTGCAGCCATCTGCCAGCCAAAATGGAGCTCAGGGGGGCTGCATGCACCCCCCCACCAGCTCCATTTTTACAGGCAGAGGGCTGCAAGAGGCCATCCCAGCTAAAAACAGAGCCTGCTCCATTTTCACTGACAGAGGCACTGTGGGCCGATCCTTTGCTGTTTCCAGGGCAGCCCGTGGGTCAGATCTAAATACCCGTGGGCCGGATCTGGCTCACAAGCCTTGAATTTGACACCCCTGATCTACACTGACTACCAGTGGCTCTCATAGTTGGGAGTCTTTTCCAACCTTATCCAAATATGTGGGTTGTCACTCTGGGATCTTCTCTATAGTATATTATAAGAACTATGTCTCAGTCTATTACTTTAAAAATGCCTTAACTTATCTAGCTAACTATATGACTGAAATTCATTCATTCCTAGGTTTTGAAAGATGGACAACTGGTCAGTCAGAATGATACCCCTCAAGCTGTTTTAACTGTGACACTTTTTGGAAGATGGTATGAAAAGGATCCTCCATCTACACACATTGACGTGTAACCCTAGCACCAAGAGAATCACAGTTCCCAATAAGGTTGAATCCACTATTCAACAAATCAGTTGCTTGATACTTTTACTATTTCAGTTGTCACTTATTGTTCAGTAATGGATAACTCAACTGAATATGTATTGATAATGGATATATTGATGCTGTTTAACGTTGGCTGACAAATCCTAAGGAATACAAACTCTTGAACTTTGTCCCAAAAAGATACAACAATGTAATAGTTACTAATTAGATCAAGGGTCTTCAAACTTGGCAAGTTTAAGATTTGTGGACTTCAACTCCCAGAATTCCTGAGCTAACATGACTGGAGGAGGAATTTTGGGAGTTGAAGTCCACAAGTCTTAAAGTTGTCAAGTTTGAAGACCTCTGGATTAGACTCTCTGTCCAAGGTTCTTGGAAGAAAAACAGCTTAATATATGGATCATCTCCAAATACAGCTGCCCACCACATATTAGAGCAGATATTTGAAGCCACTTTAAAATACAACAGATAGTTTAGATCCAGGTTGTGCCAACTCCACCTTGTCTCTTAACCCCTCATTTCAGAAAGAGACCCAGAAATGACCCAACCTGCCCCTCATTTGGGGATTATTTAGCAGGAATCAGTCCTCTAACCAGAAGGAACTAGAATACCAGACTTCAGGTTTTTTTGTAATCGAGAATGAGAAAAACTCAAACTGCTATAACCTGTTTGTTTGTAACTGATTTTCAACTGGGAAGCCAGCTGGGTTGAATTACTGGGCCTGTCTGAGATTGTAATATGAATTATGCCAACTTTTTGACTGTAGCCTTCACCCCACCCATTGAGGCTGTTTTAAAAATAAGATGTCTTAGAGAAGAGAGAAATTTTATGTTTGTAAGAATAAAAAATGTGTAATTTCAATTAAGGCAATAAATTGGGTTCTCAGATATTGTGAATAATTTCTAAGTTGACATGAGTAATACTTTCTGTTGTATGATAATTTATATGGCTATGCAGAAAAGGAAACTAAATATGAATGAAAAGGTATGGTGAAACTATGATGAAGGAAAAAATGCCTATAGAATATAAGCGTATTAACTAAGAGATTATGCAAACTTCAGATCGAGCAAAAGAGAAAGAAAATGTGTGTGTGTGAGAGAGAGAGACAGACACAGAGGGAGAGAGTGATTCTTAGAAAATGAAGGATCAACAAAAAATGGAGAGTGATAAGTTAGAATGCATGCATTCTGCAAACAAATAGTTTTACTCAAGGGCAAGGTAATTCATAGAATCAAATGAAATGGGAGCAGAAAATATTCTAGCATTTGAATTACCAAGATTTTTTTTGGTAATAACAAAAGGCAGGATATGGCAAAGACGCAAAAATGCTACTGTAGGCTTAGAGACTTGTTCTTTAGACTTAGGTTCAAGTTACAGAGGTTTTGTATATATGGGTGTGTGTGTGTGTGTGTGTGTGTGTGTGTGTGTGCGCACACGCGTGTGCATTTTGTACATGTTAAGTTTGAGCAATGAGAGGCTGGACCAGAGCATGAGTGCAACAATACTTTATTTTACAATAAAGGGCTGACCGTGCTTGCCAAGCCTAGAACTGGCTCGCAGCAATCAGCAAGAGGTTGGACCCCACAGCCTGCTTTTATAGCTGGCTGCTGGGGAGAGCCAACCAATGGGAATGGGGGAAGGAACGCCCACATAAGTGAGAGGACCTGAGTGAGAACTTCTTGAGTCCTCAGGACATAACACCCCTTCCCCCCAGATGTGAACATGCATAGTCTTTGAGGTAGACGGGGGGCTTGTGTTGGCGCCCGGAACGGCGCAGCTCGGGGACATTGTCTGCCAGTTCGGTATCAGTCTGTGGCGGTTGATCTGGCATAGTGTCGATAACGCTCTCTCTGGATTGGGCATCCTCGGAAAACACCGGGTCGGTTACCGGGGTCGAGCTCCCGTGGGCTGGGTCTGGCTGGTCCATTCTTCGGGCGCTGTTGCTCGAGCTCGGGCTGACCGGAACGACTGCTGGTGCAAACTGGACGTTGGGTGCGATGATGCTGGGAGGCGGCTGAGACGGCCCCTCTACGGCTGGCGACTCAGGATTCTTGTTGGCAAGGGTGCTGAGGCGCTTTCTAAGCTGGTCTATGTGTCTCCTCCAGACGCGACCATCCTCCAGTCTGACCCTATACGATCTCGGCCCGGTGACAGCGACGATCTCGCCTGGGATCCAAAGTGGGTCCCCAGCAAAATTTCTTGCGAAGACTGGCTCCTGTAACACAAAATGTCTAACCCCCGAAGTAGAAGCGAGGGGAGAGTCAGGGCAGTATTGTGGGTGCAGTCTATCCAATACAGTCCTCAGGCGTCGGCCCATCAGAAGTTCCGCTGGGGACTTATTGGTGACTGCACAGGGGGTTGAGTGCTGGCTCATCAGGAACCGTGAGAGTTTGTGGTGCCAGTCATCTTTGCCAAACCTGGCGAGGGCCTCTTTGGTGGTCCGGACGGCCCGTTCAGCCAACCCATTACTCGCCGGGTGAAATGGGGCTGTGAAAATGTGGCGAATGCCTAGGTTGGCTGCAAAACGGCTGAATTCTACGGATGTGAACTGAGGGCCATTATCTGAGACCAAGGAGTCGGGTAGTCCATGTGTAACAAACAGGCGTGTTAACGCGTTGGTGATTGCTAGTGTGGTGGTCGTGGATAGCTGTGCCACGTCTATCCACTTGGAATAAGCGTCCACGACCACTAGGAACATCTTCCCATGCACGGGGCCGGCCAGATCGATATGTATTCTAGACCAAGGGGCGCTGGCTTTCTCCCATCTGGTAGGGGTGGCGATGGGGGGAGCAGGACGGGATTCCTGGCAAATGCTGCAGGAACTTACCCAATTGACAATGTCCTCGTCTAGACCCGGCCACCATACGTAGCTGCGTGCTAATGCCTTCATTCTCACAATGCCAGGGTGTCCCTCGTGCAACGCCTCCAGGACTCGGGTACGCAGCGAGGTCGGAATGACCACTCGAGTGCCCCACAGTAGACAACCCTGCAAACTGGACAGCTCCTGCATGCGAGTCTTAAAGGGTGCAAATTTGTTATCAACGTTGCCACCCGGCCACCCCCTCCTTACCCAGTCGAGCACCTGGGCGAGCGTTTGGTCTGCTTTGGTTTTAGTGGCGATGTCAAGGGCGTTGATGGGCAGGTCCAACTGGGTGATTTCGAAAATGGCATTGACAGGAGCTGGGTCTTCAGCCGGCGCGGGTAGGGGGCAGCGACTGAGCGCATCGGCGTGGGAAAGAGTTTTGCCCGGGCGGTGGGTAAGTTTGTATGAGTAGGCCGCTAGGAAAAGTGTCCACCTCGTCATTCTAGGGGAGAGGACTTGGGGTGTCTGTTTGTCGCCGGCCAGTAGGCCCAGGAGGGGCTTATGGTTGGTGACCAGTTCGAAAAAGTGTCCAAAAAGGAATTCGTGAAACTTTTTCACGGCTGCAACAGCTGCTAGGGCTTCTTTGTCTATTTGACTGTAATTTCGCTCCGTGGCCGAGAGTGTCCTGGAGAAAAAGGCGATGGGGGCCTCGGAGCCATTGGGAAGTCTATGACTAAGGACCGCCCCAATTCCAAATGGTGATGCATCTGCTGCCAGTACTAGAGGAAGGTTGGGGTCGAATTGGATGAGCACCGCCTCTGACGTAAGTAGTGATTTGACGGCGTTAAACGCCTGGTCCTCTTTGTGCCCCCAGTGCCACGGTGACTTTTTATCTAGTAATCTGTGGAGGGGTTCGGCTACTGAGGCTTTATGGGGTAAGAAGGATGCATAAAAGTTCAGCAGCCCTAGGAAGGCTTGTAGCTCCGTTTTGGAAGTGGGCGTGGGAGCTTCGTGGATTGCCCTGACTTTGGACTCCAGGGGATGAATGCCAGAGGCGTCAATTTTATAACCCAGAAAGTCCACCTGTCTAGTGGCAATGGCGCATTTTTCTTTTTTTAACTTGAGGCCATGCTGTCTGAACCTCTCTAACACTGCTCGTACTCTCTGGAAGAGTTGGGGTCTGTCCCTAGCCGAGACCAAGATGTCGTCGAAGTAGGATACTACACCAGGGAGGCCCTGTAAAATCCGCTCCATGAGGGATTGAAAAATACCCGGGGCAACACTTACGCCAAATTGGAGACGCTTACATCGGAATGCACCCCTGTGAGTAACGATGGTCTGGAGTTCCGCTGTTTGGTTATCAACAGGGAACTGCTGATACGCTTGAGACATGTCCAATTTAGCAAAAATGCTGCCCGGCTCGAATGTGTGCAATAAGTGCTGAATGACGGGCACAGGGTAGGCGCTGACTTGTAGATATTTATTAGTTGTTGTCTTGTAGTCCGAGCAAATTCTCAGGCTACCGTCTTTTTTAAGGGGTGTGACAATGGGCGTCTCCCACTTGGCGAAATCTGTTGGCTCAATGACCCCTTGTTTTAGTAGTTTATCCAATTCGGCGTCTAGTTTTGGTCTAATAGCAAATGGAACCCTGCGTGGTTTTAATCTGATTGGGACCGCCTGGGGGTCAACAGTGAATGAGATGGGGGTTCCATTATAACACCCCAGCTCTTCGCTGAACACATCTGCGTAGTCAGCGAACAAGGAGTCAGTGTCTGAGGTTGAGACAGCATGGACTCCTGTTAACCCTAGGCCGAGGTGGGGAAACCAATCGAGCCCCAATAAGGTTGGTAGATTGCCGTTAACTACCACTAGAGGTAGGTGGCCTTTAAAAGTTCTAAAACTGACAAAAAACTTGCCTCTGCCGATCACAGGAATGGCCTTCCCCTGGTAGTCCTTCAGACGGTACTGGCATCTCTGAAGCCGGGTAGTAGATAGGCTGGGGTGGAGTCTCTTGAGGGTGTTCCACGAAATTATTGAGAGCGCTGACCCTGTGTCAACCTCCATGTGGCACGGTTTACCTTCTAGGGAAACGGAGAGAGAAATTTTACTAACAGAGTGGCAAGTACGCCTGGCAAGGTGGTCTGTGCGACAGTTTAATACTTGCCTCTGTGGTCCCGAGTTCGAGGACGGGGGTCTGCGTGCAGTGCTTTGGGGGGCTTGGCAAACTCTCGCGATGTGCCCCTTCTTATGGCAGTTGTTGCAAATGGCTCCTTTAAACCTGCAGGTGG